AATTAGTATTACTCAAGCTGAATATTACCAGATCGAAATTTTATTTGAGAAAATGTATCTGGTAAACGTGACAACGTTGTAAGTACTTCTAAATAGTGTTGTCTACACACACTTCTAGAAATAAATGCAACGTTGCCACGTTTACCAGATAAATATTGCAAATCAAATTTCTACTTTTTGATTATGGTCTGGTTAATTTTCAGCCTGAGTAATAATAATTGTTTTAATTAAAAAGTAAAAAATAAGCTCCCAGCTTTAAATCTGAAAATATAAGTTCATGATTTTTAGAAAAATAATGGAATTTTACTATTTAAATTACATATATAAATGCAGAAATGCTATATTAGGGATACTTCCGACAACCCCGCCGTCTTTAAGCATAACCGATACGAGACGTGAACGGAATTAGGGATTTTCTGATGCAATGAGTCACTGAAAGAATTTTATGGGAATTTCCTTACTTCTAGCAAAAATATCTTAACGGGAAAAGTACCACCAGACAAAAGAGTTTAATATCTTTATAAATATATAATTAATTCACATTCAAAAGTGAAAGTGAACGGGCCTATTGTAATCGGACCCTATCATTACTATTTAGTAAATCTACATCTATCTCTTGAATGAACTTCCCCTTATCATATTATTTACTGATACCCAAATTGGGTAAGTAAATATTTTCAACAATAGACGCCAAAACTTTGTGCACAAAATTAGGAATGTTTTTACAAATATTTAACATTTTACAGCCTTATCTAAAGCATACATTAACAGAGATACTACGGTTCCTTGATTGTATTTATGTTTATTTCATGGTCAAAATACGTTTACATCTTAAAGTGTTTTTGAAAATTATGAAAATTCACAATCATCTCAAAAATTAGTTTTAAGTTGCAATATATTACATACAATTCAGCAGATTTGACAGAAAGTTATTTACCATAAGCACACTGCAAGATTTTTTTAAAAAGTATATGTATATATTTCCTCTAATTTTAGTTAGTGCAAAAGAAGAAAAGGTAACAATGTTTAGATAAAAACCATTAAGGTCCACAAGGAAAAATAGGGTGATGCCGAAATAAATAATTTAATAGTAAAGAGTAACAAACAAAAATATAACTCTAAAATACATTGTGACAAAATAATTAGTATTGCTCGCCTTCTTTAAGAGGATAAGGGGTAAATGGTTATTGCGTTTGTTAGGCTTTCTAGTGTAAACCGTGTATAGTGTAGACCAAAAATATTTTGTTATTTCACATTTATAATTCAGTATTACTATTATACCTATATATAATTCACAATGAAAGCGATATCCTGCCGCACAGTGAACGTCGAAAAACAGTTGAAAAAATTAAATGGCTTATTCTAATTATTTATAATTGACCGATTGCCCTTTAAAAACCAGCCTATTTACCTAAACGCAAGAATTAATTTATGCTCGGCAATTATGTACCTATCTTAACTCACCCAGGGTATTGCTGTTACCTTATTGGTTGATGGTCAATTTGTATTGGTTGTTAACTAGTCAACGTGGACTGTTGGAAGTTTTCGATCCTTATATAGTATGGCTACAGGATAGTATTCGATTTTACGCAAGAACTTCGTTTATTGTATTGGTGTTAATTTAATTTTGTTAATTTTGTATTTATAATGACTTTATAGAGACCTTCAGAAAGTGATGGGGATATTCTATTGTTCCAGAAGGTATATTACTAGAGCATTTGTGCTCGAAATTTTTTCGAATAAATCTTGTGTTTCTGTCTTTACAAGTTAACTGCCGCACTAGGGTATAAAATTAATCAAATGAATGAAAATAATTTAGGTCTAGGTTATTTAATATTTAGTTTATTTCACTTTTACAAATATAATTCAGACAATTAACTAAAATCTTTATTATAAAAACTGTAGTTTTTTAGAAACAATAAAGATTGAATTATTGAATTGAATTAGTGCATAAAAATAAAATCTAGGGTACACCATCCTATTTATTTATTTTTAGGTTATATTAGGTACATAAAGCACATGCTTTAAAAGAAACCAAAAACCTACGGAGGTTGAAATGATCCCCTTGAATTATGTTTTATTCAAACAGACACGGATACAAATAATAGCTTTAAAGCGACGTGAATTACGTTTACGCCATCCTTGCTAACTATATGACCCAGGTAATTAACTTTATTTTAAAGTAGTTGGCATTTCTTGGGGTTTAGCAACAGTTAGAAAGCTTTGAGTCTTTTAAAAACATCTTCTAAGTTCTTTAGATGTTCATCAAAGGTCTTGCCCAAGACTATGATGTCTAAATACACCAGGCATAACTCTCTCAAGTCTGAGGGCATTACGTAGTCCAAATGTCATGACATTGAATTTCCGCAATCCAGATCCGGTGGCAAAAGCTGTCTTTTCTTTATCTACTGGGTCCATTTCCACCTGCCAATGTCTAGACTTTAAGTCTAAGGTAGAAAATAGTCTGCTACCGGCCAATGTGTTCAAGGTATCCTCCATTCGAGGCAAAGGATAACTATCTTTCTTGGTAACATTGTTCAACTGACGGTAATCCACACAGAACCTCGTAGTTCTATCCTTTTTTTGGACCAGCACTACCGGAGAGACCCATGGGCTGGTAGAAGGTTCTATCATCGTCTTCCTTCATTTCCTGAACAATCCTTTCAGCTTCTCTCTTAGCCTTTAGTAATCTTCGAGCTGATTGACGAATCGGCCTGGTGTCACCAGTGTCAATTTTGTGTTTTACAACACAAGTTCTTCCTGTTTTTCCTCCTTTTGGTACAAAAATGGTCACGATATCGTCGAAGAAATTCCTTTATGTTATTTTTCTCTAATTGAGAGATTGACCAGGAACTGCAATCATTTGCTCGAATTTGTCGTTGGAATTATCAGAAGTTGTTATCTGACGAATTATAGAAGTTAATGGTACACAAGTTCCGATTCTAGCCATCACCAATTTTATGTTGATTTGCCTCATGAGGGTAAAAACGAGGGTAAAAAAGGCAAGAAAGGGAGAAAAACAGCTAATTCAACTAAGGTAGATATATCGGCAACTATCTAGGTAGATGTAGATATACTGCCAACTCAGGAATCAGAAATTGAAAGTGAATAAAAATAAGATGTCTTAAATTAGTCAGTTATAACTTGATGATTTTTAAGGTAGCTATAAAGCATCCTTTTTTCTCTACGGTAGTTGCTAGTATACTTTGTTAAACATGGTGGACTTCATAAATGTTCGTAACAGGAAGAACTATAGTAAGAGAAGCATCAGCCCAAGCAAATCTAAGCTCTTGTTGCGTTTTGAAAGTGAAAGTGTAGACTTTTCAACAGTAGTATTTATCCCAGACATTTTGATAAATTCGTCTTTGGGATCTTTCCATGCCTTTTCTTAAGCTTGAACTATAGTAGGAATCATTGATTTATTCAAAAGAACCTTATACTTTTTTAGCAATTTAACAAACATAAGTCTGTAACCGCCAATAACTGGCAATTAATTTTTTCTCACTCGAAAACAAATGCTTACAATTTTTGTTTAGAGGGTTGTGTTCGCGTTCCCATGTCTTTCATTCATCATACGCAACGAAAAAAGTAAATACTTGTAAATATAAGTAAGTACTTACAAGTAATTACTCAAAATTCAAAAGATTTTTCCGATATTTACTTTCGAGAGAGTTCTAGTTTTTATTCAAATAAAAATAAGTACTAGCTTCTACTTAGAAGTTTTAGCTTTTTCTTATAAGTTATGACTTGCAAGGTAATACTTTTCTTTATTCAATAGACCCAGTGTATACTTTTTACTATTTACTTCGCCTTCTACGTATATACTATCATTGCGACATTTCAAAGAGGCTATCAGTATTAAAGGGTCTTTAGAACGGTTTCGGGTCAAAGCTGCTCCCTCTAGACGGACCCGCTCTAGTTTTCTTGCAGAGTGTTGTCTTCAGTTGTTGGGACCCTAGGGCGTTTGCACAAACTGCGTACATGTCCCAGTTCATCGCAATTCCAGCACCTGATGGTCTTTGTCCTTATCTTTTTATCAGTAAGGCTCTTCATTTTGTTAACTAGTTGGTCGAGTTTATCTTCTACGTTTTCTTCTTTTACAATCCTCACTTTAATGTATCCTCCAGAAGCCTGCGTTGCTGCCTCAAACTCTATAGCAGCGGACAAGACATCGACCAATGTTTTGTGACGGGCTAAGCGGAGTGTTTTCTCAACAAATGTTTGGACTGCCAAACATACCATCAATAATGATTTTCCTATGTTAATCATTTAGTTAAACTAAAAATGATACTCATCCATTCTTCTTTGGAATATAATTTTAACCGAAATGACACATTTATAGAAAATGGCATTAATTATATACTCTTGGCAATCTATTTGTCGTCTCCAAAATATTTAAACCTTTCCTATGTCTCTGACCAACTATCTTTACTCTCTAAACAATGGTAACAGTTTTATTGCCTACCCTAGACATTGTAATCTTTAAAGCACATATTCTGTGAATGTTGGATGTTGACTGTTCTTACTAATGGAAAGAACAAAATATCCTTATTTTTACGACCCGTATGTAGCACTAGGAACTCTTATTTATTGACAGCACAGATTGTCTCGGTCTTTAAACAAAGCTTTTTAGCTGAAATGATGATACCAGAATGGGAACAGTAGAACAGTCTGGAAAATTAAAGGGAGAAAATGCTATTCTTTTCGCACTTCGTCGGATTTGTCGGCAATTAAATCTTTTGTGGGTTGCAAATGCATCTGAGGGAGGATCGAAATGAAAATTAAATGCTGAGCATTGGCGTGCTTTAAATCAAACAGTAAAAAAAAACGTTACACACAACAAATGGCATATCTGCACTTGTTGCACAATATATTATTAAGTCACTCGTACTGTAGTTCGTAATAAGAATTTACTGCTCTGTTATTAGCAATTGTTGAGCATAGTTCAGGAACATCGTCAGTAATTAGCCTTAGGTTAGTAATTTGTCGTCTTGTTTCAGATGAACAGACTTCCTCCTATTCCATTTTCAATATTACGAGAATTGAGATGCAGAAATTGTCAGAACGTAGTCAGTTGCGGCCCAGTTTTCGTTGTACCAGATGGAAGCATCATTTGTGGAAGGTAAGAGTACAAATACAAGTTTTCATTCATCATTAATCAGCGTTTTAAATCATGGTTAAAGCACAATCCAAATTCAAAGGTATTTGAGTTAAAAGGCAGACGGTCTAATTTAGAAAAGCACTTGATATAATTTGAGAATATACAAATAGAAATAGATGCAATTACAATAGTTGTTGATAACGAACAAAGGGTTTTCTTTGAAGAAATTTATTATGAAACGTTATCACATGCGGATGAAATTTTAGAGAAATTTAATGGTAAAACAGATAGGTTGCCGGAAATAAAATTACCACCGATTAATATTCCAATATTTGATGGTAGTATTCATAAATGGGACAATTTTCATGATCTATTTCAGTCATTAATTGATAATAATGTCACACTGACAACAATTCAAAAATTTCAATATCTAAAATCATCCTTAGAAGGAGATGTGTTGAAAATTGTATCCAAACTTGACACATCAGAAGCAAATTACAAAGTTGCTTTATTACAAAAACGTTATGAAAACAAAAAAAGGGTTCCATTAAATCATGTTATGTCACTTTTTGAGCTACAGTCGATTCAAAAAGAAAGTTATGCACAACTTAGACCAGTGGTCGCCAACCTCTTTAACTTTGTTAATTTTGAAATAAACAGCGAGCTACCCACAAGGAAGCCAGGTAACGCAACGTAAATGAAATAATCCACAGTTAATTTATCATTATATGTATTTATTTTACCATTTAACTGGTAATACATAGGTACTAATAATAAACTAATAACAAAATAACTAATATTACTAGTACGTACTTGTTCATAGCTACATTCCTACCTACCAAACGAAGATGTTTGAAAAATAAAGACAAACATTTATCCAGCCACAACGGCATGTCACGTAAGATTTAAAAATACTTAATAATAACAACAAAAAAGTAACGCACTATCATGAACATAAACAAGGAAAAATAAAAAAGCACGTTCAATGAGAAGGCTGACACTCAGACTCATCGACAATTTTTTTAATGTTTGCAGTATAATTTGATACAGCCATTCGAATACAATTATCAAAATGTTCATCTGTAAGTCGATTGCGATATTTGTTCTTAATAAACTTCATATTGGAAAAAGAAGATTCACACAAATAGGTTGAACTGAATGATGCTTTCACTTTCAAGGCAACACGGCATAGAACTGAATATTTGTCTTTACTTACAATAGGCCAGATACATTTGGTACTTGAGACTAACGATTTTAAAGCTAAATCATTTTGAAACTCAATTACTTCAATTTCTGTTGCAGCGATGTCTTCGCCAAAGTTGAATAACACAAGTTGCAAACTGTTGGATATCAATTTCCATAAAGGGTGAAACAACAAACTGCGCTACTAAAGCCATTTCGTTGAATTCCTTAAAACGATTTTTGAAGTTATTCTTCAAGGTAGAAACTATTTCTACATAATATTTGCTGTCATAGGGTTCTAATGGATTTTGAGATATTTGTTCTGAAAGAATAGGAAAATGCTTGGCATCGCTGTTAATTAGGTTTTGTTCCCAAAACTCCAGCTTTTTAATAAATGCTTTTATATCAGAAATCATTTTCGCTAGTTCTTTGTCTCTCCCCTGAAGCTGCAAATTAAGTTCATTTAATTTCTCTGTAATGTCCACGAGAAAACCAAAATCTCTAAGCCAGATTGAATTTTCTAGTTCCGGAGTCGGTTCATCGCGTTGTTTGAAAAATTGAACTATGTCAGATAGGATATCATTAAAACGTTTCAGCACCCGTCCTCTACTTAACCATCGGACTTCAGAGTGAAGGAGTAGGTCCCCGTATTGACTGTCAACTTCATCGGCCAAGGTTTTGAATAATCTTCTTTGTAACGCTTGAGCTCTAATCTTGTTCACAATTTTTACCACCAGTTTCATAACGCTGTTTAGTTTCAGGAAATTTCCACATAATGCTTGCTGGTGGATAATGCAGTGGTAACAGAGAAATTGCGGAAAAGTTTCATCTTTACGACATAACGCCACCAGACCCTTATCACAACCCACCATAGCTGGAACGCCATCGGTTGTCAAGCCTACCATTTTCGATATTGGAATTTTCTCGGAAGAAATAATATTTTTTAAATGTGAAAACAACTCCTGTCCAGTAGTGTGTCCTTTTAGTGGAATAAACTTCAAAAACTTCAAAAGATCTTCTTTAATCGTAAAATAACTAAAAACCATCCTGACGAACACGGCCATCTGGGCAGTGTCAACGACATCTGTTGATTCATCCAGTTGAAGTGAAAAATAAACACAGTTTTCTAAGTCAGTTCTTAACTGTTAAAAAATATCATTGCTCATTACTTCTACACGTCTCATCACTGTATTAGCAGAAAGTTGCATAGATTTTATAGCTGAAACTATCTCTATCTTTAACTTCTGTAAAAAAATATTGTTCTTCCCATTCCGAATGAAAGTGGTATGTCTTTACCTTCTTACAACTGCTTGCCATAATATTATTTTTTGTTGTTCTCTACTAACCCAACCGCTGGACGTTGGTTACGCGTTCAGTTTTAAACTAAGCGCAATGTCGCCGCGCCGTGCGTATTTATCCCGTTCAAAGCAATCCTGATCGTTCTCGAACACTAACGCGCTGATCCGGCTGGTCGGTTCTAGCCGATTCTAGCTTGATGGCGTCAGCGGCAGATCGCTCACCGCAACGTTGCCGCTGTTTATGTTTAATATTATGACAATTAGATTTTTTTGTGGCATTTTCGGAAGCTTCTCTGATTTTTGCAGTTTGTATTTTTTAAATTAAAATCGTTGTGAATTGCTTCCGCAAACTACCGGTAGCTCGCGATCGACAGGCTGGCGACCACTGACTTAGACATTTTGTAGACACGTTCCAAACACATAATGGTGCCTTAACAGCACTAGGGTTGTCAGACAAGGCAATTTTAAATTTAATCTTGATTTCACTTTTGACCTCAAAGTTGGATAAAATCACGCTAAAGCAGTGGGAATCAAAGGTTTCAGAGAAACAGGATTTACCCACTTAAAAATTCTTCTGTGATTTTTTAGGACAAAGATGTAATTCTTTAGAAGCCTACAAAGGAAATGTAACATTAGGGCAGGGTCAATCTTCTCAAGTACATTCACAGTCACACATGAAGAATCAGTCATGCCAAATGCAGAACATTTACACAAACAAAACTGATAATAGACCACATGATTCTAATTCATTTATTGCTACACAAGCAAGTTCACAGTTAAAAAAATCTTAAAAATGACAGTCACTAATCGAGTAAATGAAGTGAAAAAATTAAAGCTTTGCTTGAATTATCTGACAAGTGATCATTTTTCAACTCAGTGTAAGTCTGGTTCATGTAAAAAATGTAATAAAAAACACAACAGTTTGTTACATATAGATAACTACTTAGATGAAAATAAGTCTCAAACAGTAACTCACACATGTCAAGAGGTTGTTCAGGCAGAAGATTCTGCAATTCCTCTAGAACATTCTCAACTTACAAATAATAATAACTTGCCTCAGATTTCTCATACATTACACTCCCAGTTAAATGAGGTCGTGTCAAATTTCGGCTCTTCATAAATTTTATTGGGCACTGCACTTGTAAATGTGTCTAATGAAAATGGTGACACTGTCAATTGTAGAGTGTTATTAGACTCTGGATCTCAGTGTGATTTCGTCACACAAGAAATCTGCGCTTTGTTAAAATTAATTCCGAAATTAAAAAGATGACAAAGGAGTCAATAATTCTAAGTCAGTAAAAATCTCCGTATCTTCTCTCTTTAATTCATTTACAACTAGGCTCAACTTTCTAGTTCTGCCAAAAATTACAGAATGTTTATCTATTGTTAGTGTAAATGTTCTTCATTTTAAAATGCCACAAAATTTGATCTTAGTATATCCACAATTTAACAAATCACACAAAATTTATATGTTGATTGGTGCTAAAATGTATTTCGATCTTTTATTAAGTAGTTCCATTAAATTACATAAAAATGGACCATCGAATCAAAATACAAAGTAAGAGTTGGGTGGTAGCCGGAAGGCTCAATTCCAATCAATCGGTCAAAACTTCACAATGTAATTTAGTTGCCAATAAGCAACTAAATAATTACTTAAGACATTTTTGGGAGTTAGAAGAAATTTCCCAAAAAAGTCCAATGAGAAAAGAAGAAAATGATTGCGAACTTCATTTTCAACACAATTTTTCGCGCAATCTGACAGGTTCGTAATAAGACTTTCATTAAAAGATAATGTAAATTATTTGTCACAATCAAAAGAAATGGCGTTAAAAAGATTATAATTTGGAGAAAGGTTATTCACAAATGTCTGATCTGTTTAAAGCCAATTACACAAGTTCCAGTAATGGGAGATTTACCTCAATACAAAGTCAACCAATATCGTCCATTTTGAAAGGTAGACATTGATTATGTAGTGTAATATTATATTATTAAAAATAATAATACGAATGCAAGTAATGAGTATTTTATTTGACAGCGTTCACAACTGACTTGTAACAACATTCTCTTGTTTAAGCCTGCTGCTACATCTCCCTTTACAAAACACAATAAGAATGCAATGTAGCTAAATAAACTATCTAAATCTCAACTAAGGTACAAGCTAGAACAAAATCAGATAAGGTAACTAAACTAACTTCACTAGTATACCTATCTAAATTTAAACTCAGGTAAAAGCTAATTTTTAGCTAAATTTCTTCAATTAGTCTCTTCGGCTTTCTTGTACTTCTAATCGGCCGTGCCTTTGTTTCATTTTCGCCCTGTGGATGTGGCTCATCTAATGTGACATCGGGAAGTTCAGCGTTGCTGGTGTTTTCATCTTCCGCAGGTTCTGGGGTACTAACTGGAGTGAGTGTGATCTTATTTGTTATTTCTGCGGAAGACTTTCGAAGATGTTTGGTGTTTCTTGTCAGTATTTGACCTTTATTAGTTCCTACTATAAATGATCTTGGTTGCGTTCGTCCCTTTATTATTTTTCCTCCTATC